CTACGTGAGCAGAGGACAACGACAGTGGCCGTAGAGACTGACCGCACGCATCGTAAAGCTGCTGCAGTAGCATACAGGAGAACTCGTCGCGTCCGAAGAACAGGATGTCAAACGGCTGCCCGGGAGGCTCGGTGCGGATCGTGCTCGAAAGCTTAGACAAGGAGCGGCGGAGGACGAGCCTGGTACATGTTCGTGGATGTCTGTGAAATGTTGCGCGGAGCATGAGACGACCAAGGCTGTGATGCTGCGAGGATCCTGGCAGAGAAACAACCGCAGGAAAGCGAACCCTGCGCGCTAATTCAGGCGCATCAACAACTACCGTTCAGCCAGAATAGGAAAGGCCGGGTTCCATGACGGCGCCTCGTCCCCAGTGCTGCTGATCTCTGTATAGCAGATCTGCCGTGCTATTTGTGGGACGAAACGCTGACTGTAAATAGAGTTTTTCTGAAACATTTTGGTGGTTTTGATGTACCCGAGAGCAAGGCGCAGATACACTCGAGACGGAAAAGAAAAGGGGAGAAAATGTTTTGGGTCGGGAGTGTGAGCTGCGCTGCGCTGCGGATCCGCGGACCGACGACGGCCGTGGCCTCGACAGCAGCTGCGACACCGGGGAAACACTGCCACCGCAGCTCCCCGGGGAAACGCTACCGCCGCCGCAACGAGGGCAGTCAGTGTGGGCGATCCGCAAGTTGAAACTGCTGCCCGTGTCGAAGATGCACAACATCACCATCAAGCGCGTCAGGAAAATTCAAACTCCGAAGCCATCGTGGCGTCTCGGACGCTTCCCGTTTCGCCCTCGCGCGACGCTCACAGCAGGGGAAAAAAAAAATGCAACCGAACCAGATACGATACTGCAAGTACTGCTACACGAGGGTATACACATATATAGGCTCGCCTGCCCGCCCGCTCGCCCGTCTCCACCCGCCGTCCACCACCGCCCGCGCCCATCTCTGGCGGAGGGTGCGGCGGCGGCAAACGACGGGCACAGCAGAGGCAAACAACGGCCGAGCACACGGCCCAGAGAGCGAGAGCAAAGAGCGCGCGAAAACAAATCCAAAAAAGAAAAGTGCGGGGTGGCGCTAGCTGCTAGAGACGCGTGCGAGCCAACAGAGGAAGTAGGCCAGAGACAGAGAGAGTGAGAGTGATCAGCAGGAGTGAGAGAGAGAGAGAGAGGGAAAGGGCTACAGATGGCTACACGATTCAGGCGTACAATGACCATGAGATGTGTGTGTGTGTGTGGATGTGAATGTGTGTGTTAGATGAGGCCAGGGCAGGAGGCCAGGCTTATGAGTGATGTGTGTGCGCAAGGAAAACGACGAAGAAACAAGTATTACGGGGCGCTCGTGGGGCCGGTGAACGAAGAGGAGGTCGAAAATGAAACAACGGCACTCAGCATTGCGCGGACACACCAGACACGAGCGTGCTCAGGAGCGTGTTGCCGGGGCCGTTCGCAGAACGGAGCGCACTCTCAGGCGTGACCGGCGACGCAGACGACACGGTCGAGACCGACCGCGCACTGAGCGGGCCCATGTGGTTGCTCCCGGACGAGACCGGCGAGAGCGGGCTGAGCGCCTTCGGGGACGCCGCCATGTTCTCACGGGGCGCGCCCAGCCCATTGACGCGAGGGCTCGCCGTCCTGGGGCTCGAAGGCCAGTTCGGCGACGGTCCGCGCACCTTGCCTTGCATCACCTCCTGGTACTCGCTCGGCGACGGGTTCCACGACGTCCGGTGGAAGCTCTTCTTCTTCCGCACGCTTGCCTTGTAGGCCGCACGAATAGCGCTCGTCGCGTCGTGCGTGTTGATGAAGAGCGACGACGTATTGGACGTGGCGGAGGCAATGCTCGCCGCAGGCGACTTGGTGATTTCCAGACGTGGGAGCTGCGTGGTGGTCGCGTGAGGCGGAGGCGGCGGCGGCGGTAGTGGCTCGCCTAGGGACGGATCAAACGAGACGCGAAAATGAGGAGGTGATGGCGACGTGGAGGAACAGGTGTGGTAGTGGCTGTAGGCGGAAGAGCCACTGCCAGAAGTCGACGGTCGAGAACCCGGCGGCGAGACCGACGATCCATCAAAGTACTCGTGTCCCGAATCATGGTCAGATGATGACGGAACCGAGTGCACGTGTTCCCGCAGGAAATCTCTGGGAAGTGTTGGTGGGAAAGCGGAGAGAAAGTCCTCGGGCGAGTGCGAGTGTCCATGGGCAAGAGCACGGTTCAGTGGTGAGTCCCCACTGTGCTTCTCCGGAGCTGATAGCAAAGCGCAGCGATCTTCCCACTGCTTCAGGTTTTCCTTGCATTGCTGTGCGAAGACTGCCATTTCTACAAGAGGCGGCTATCAATGATAGGCGAAACCCGCTACTGAACCAAGATACTCACGTGGGATTCCAGAAGCGGTGAGCTCGAACAGCGGGTACGTGAAATGGCTGGTGAAGAACACCTGGCCCTTTGCCTCGCTCAGCGCGTCCTTGGACGGTTTCACCGAGGTCGGCAAATCCAGGTGCTGTTCAAGCAAGAACTGACTCGTCCACTCTGCCTCCAAAGCCGCTGCCCAGTGCTGCGACACCGTATGTGGCCGACTCTGCTTGACGCTTCAGATCGATCCCTCGTGAAAGGCCAAGAAGTGACTCACGGGGTTGCTGATATCCGCACACTTGATCAACGCCTGGCACACGAGCACCTTTTGCCGAAACGGGTCGATCGGATTCTCGGCGTTCACCATCTCTTTGAAGCACTGCATGAACTCGGCGTGGACGCTCATGTCTGTCGCAAGCACGGTCATCGCGAGAAGCTTCCTGAACGGCGGGCCGGACTTTGGGCGATCCAGGAGGGTGCCAAGTCCATGGTGTCGCATGAGCTGCATGATGAGGCTGTAATGCAGCTGCTCGAGCGTCGAGTTCTCAAAGAGCTCTGCGAGCGGCGTTTTCGCGTTGCGCTGTCGATCCGACATCAATCGACAAAAAGGGAGAGAGAGCGCAGACTAGACGCGACGTACGAGAAAGGCGTTTGTAAGACCAGGATGCCCCACGTCGTGACCCACGGCTGCGATGTACAATGCAAAGATGTCCTCGTGTGTGAGAGAGCCGATGAACGACTTTTCTCTCTTTGCGCGCTGCTTGTCTGGTTGCCACAGGCGTGCGTCCGCGCGCAAGAGTATGGAGACGGGCGGAACAATGCCGGCGGTGAAGAGGAAGAAGAAGGTCGCCTGGAAGACGTCGAGGGCATGTTGAAAGTTGTGGTATGTGTTCCTTTGACGGTAGAGCTGACGGAGGTGCTGGAGAAACGTGGATATTTGGTCTGGAGGCGATGAGTGAATTGAATGGGGGAGAGACTCTCACGGCTCACCCAAGGATACGTCGATAGCGTCCTGCATGCCGTGTATGCGGAAGAGAGCCTCGAAGAGGATGTAGGTGCAGGCAAGGATGTGCTCTTCTGGGAGCTTGTGTGGTTCGAAATGCCACGAGTCCAGGGATTCGATTAGGCGGCGCCGTGTCTTGTCGTCGACGTTAATCATGGGTGAGCTGAGAAGACTGCTGAGTACGGGCGGTATGGAAGACGGAGGGAGAAGGTCAGCTGACGTGGTGTAGGGCGGCTCCGAGTTGACTATTGTCTCGGTGTGCGCACGGACGTCTATCAAGACTTCGGCATATCTGGCCAAGAGGCGAAAAAGTAAGGAAGTGGATATCTTTGGATGGGGTACATGTAGCGCGGCACGTACCTGGTCTCGCCATCCTGGATTTCCTCCCAGCCGCCCCAGCCATGGCCGCGACCTTCGTCGCCGAGGGCGAGGGCGAGGCCGCCGACGTCGACGCTGCGCCTGCGCGAGTGCAGTCCCATGGGGGTCCACGAGGCTGAAAGCTATCGGACCGTGCGAGCAGAAGCGCTGATGGGCGTGATGGGGACGGTTTTGAGGAGGGCAGGGAGGAGCGAGAGGGCGAGGAAGAGGGCGCGGACGATGTGGGCGGTGGGCGGGAGGGGCGGTCGGCGTGGAGTGGGATGGAGGGAGCAGAGGAGGGAGGGCCTGGTGTTTGGTCGGGAGCTGTGCGCAGGATTAGGCCTCGTCCGCGTGGCGGCCACGTGGGAGTGCGAAAGACTCGCTCCGGGGATTCCTTGAGCCACGTGGGCGGCGGGGGCGCGGGGTTTTTTGCCGATGACGCAGAGCACGCGGCTGGCTGACACATGGAGGAGGGAGAGGCAGCCGTGTCCGTCGTGGATTTCATAGATTGCACGCCGAGGGCGGGAGGACCCTTGGCGGATCCGGACGCGACGGCTGCCACGGCGGCCGGGCACGGGCTGCGGGGCGGGAGAGATCGCGAGGCCAGTGGGCATATCGGACAGCTCGCGACGGCGCTCGATCTGAGCCTAGCGCCACCTGCAGGTGCGTTCAGTCGCCAGCGCCGCGCACACGAACGCCCCACGCCAGCCCAGGCTCTGCTCCGTCGCGTCCACGCCCCTCTCCCGACGCGCGCCCTGCTAGCGCCCCAGCGCCCCAGCGCTCGCCGTCGGCGGCGCGACCGGCGACGACGCCATGGCCGTCGGTGGACATGACATGCACATACGATCGGGTACAGTTGCACTGGGCTGTCATGGCCATCACTCCGCTGCTGCGCTAACAGCGACACTATATGGATCTCCAGTTCCCCAAACCTTGTTGCAAACGAGGCAACACTGGCCTGCAATGCATCTCGCCCAACAAGGCACTCGCTTTCCCGCTAACGTCCTCTACCGAGCCCTGTGCGACATGCCGGATCTCGCTTCCTCTGCTGCTAGAACATCCAACAACGGCAAACCTCAAAATGTCCGTAAACTCGCCCTCGTCCTCCTCCTCCCAACCCACTGCTTTATAGTCTGCGCCCGAGCCATCCCTCGTCCACTCCAACCGCTCTCGCTTTCTCTGCCCCACACACACAGCGCCCCGCCTACGCTATCCTTGTTCCCAACAACACCGTCGGCCCGATCTTCCCCCGACCCCGATCATAACAGCTCCCCCAATGTCTTCGAAAGGTAGAGCTCGCTTGATTCGGTACTCGTCATTCGGCGTGCTAAATGGTAGCCTCCAGTCGATGTGCCTGCTCCCCTCAGCCGCAGCCTCTCCTGGCCCTACCATCCCACCAGCCCGCACGACCCCGTCCTTCGCCGCTCGCCAGGCGGACACGCCTATGTCCTCGACGAGCAGAACGAGCTCCGAGGCCTCAGGCCCGAGCACGGCATCAGTAAGTCGCCTGCCATCTCAAATTCTTGCACCGTCCACATCACACGGTACAAAAGCAGTCCGGGACGGAAACGTGCACACGTTTGTCGCCGACGGCCTCACCATCAATCTGGCCGACGTAGACGTCGACCATCCCTCGGCCGACGTCCCAGCATGTGAGTCGCTCCCGACGCTACTCGCCTCCGCGTTCGGTGACCGATCCTCCTGCTCAGACAGGCCCTCTCGCCCGTGGCCTACCCTTACCGGACACGATCTCATGGCTATCTTCCCGGCGCCCGTCACGCGCCCCCCAACCGACGCCTGTGATGTTATCTTCAGGAAACAGATCCACGATTTTCTCATGGGCACTCCCGAGGACCTCCGACGTGATTTCCGCCCGAGTCAGCTGCAGCCCACGGGCGACCGCTCCGAGAGGCTGGAACTCAGTGCGAACGCTGGCTCGCAGCGCGCACCTCTTCGCCGCGCGGACCTCTCCGTAGTCTCTACGCCGCCGCAGCCACCGCCTCCGCCACCACCAGGCCACGACAGACATCATTCGCAGCCCCCCCAGCCCCATGACCTCGCACCCCGCACGCATCTCCCGGCGCGTCCCCACCCTCTGCCGCCGCTCGTCAGCACGCCGCGGGGCCCCACACACCCCAGGCAGGACAATGCGGGCCCGGCCATGCGTCTCTACAATTCGGATCCTGCCAGCGTGCGGTCCGCGTCACCGGCGGCGCCCCCCAGTGCGGCGGCTGCTGCTACCGCTGCTGTGTCGCGTCGTCCGCCGAATGCGGAGCGCCCCCCGGCGTACGCGTCGCCTGCCCAGCCTGCGGCCCACACGGGCGTCCACGCTCGCGCTGGCGGCGACAGCAGCCCTCCCGCACTGCTCTCCTGGCACCCGGCAGAGCGCTCCTCCCCGCCCTCGCTCGGCCACGGCACCTCCCCGCCGCTGCAGCCTGTGCCCACCACCGCCTCTGCCTCTGCCGCTGCCGCTGCCCCCGCCGCCGCCCTCGCGCCTGCGCCTGCGCCCCAGGCACCGCCGCCCGCGCCGCCGCCGGGCGCGACGCGGCCAAAGATCACGCTCATCCAGTGCAACCCGCAGAACGCGCACCCGCACAACCCGCCGCTGACGACGGTCCCGCTGGACCTGGGCGGGCGCGATGCGTACGTGCGCGAGCGCGAGACAGAGGCGCGTGAACGTGCGCGCGAGGCTGCGCCGGCCAGGGCACCGGACACGCGCGAGCAGGAGGGCGCTGCAGCGGACGGGTGGGCGCACAGGCAGGAGCCCCAGCAGCAGCACGGCCAAGAGCCTCCAGCGACGCATGAGGGCTATATCCCACGGCTGCGCGCGCCCAAAAAGGTCCGTGCTCTCTATTTACAAATTGCCCTTTCCGTGCACGCGGGGACCTGACCAACCCTATCTGTACGTGCGCACAGACCTGCGGGCGCGAAGACTGCACGATACCGTACTGCCGGTCGGTGCACCACCGCAAGAAGCCTCCTGTCGCCAAGCCACACGCGCGCGGGGGTGGTGCGCAGGACGACAAGGTCGTCGACCTCACCAGGGCAGAATAATACGTCGCGGGGAAGGTGCCCTGCGCTGCCTCCGTCCGTGCGTTGTTTGCTCGCCGCATCGCAGGCCCCCCAGCCTTGGCCTGCGACGCTACTCAATGGGCCCATATACCGCGTGTTCCTTCGACGTTTTTCTAATGAAGCCCCCCGACCTGCCTCGCCTATTATCTGAAGCTTGAAGCCTCATCCTGACGTACTACGAGCCCACACACCCCCGATTCCACCCAGAGACACGACAGTGCCTTTCCTCGGTCCCAATTATTTAATCGCTGCCACCACCCGTGTTCTGTTCGCAGCTTCCCGTATGTATGTAGTGTTATCGCCACGCGTGGCGAATATACCATCATGTCCCTGCTCGCATGTCCGCACGCAGCCGCGCGACGCGCGACGCCATCCCCCAGTGTGACCACGACACCCACCGACAAAACCGTCTTGTCCCGCGCCACACGCCCTCCCGATGGCACTGCACGTCGGGCTGCTGTGCTTTGCACGAGCGTGGCGCCCGCTGCGCCTTCGGGCGGGCGGGCTGGCCCCGCCCGTGGCGCGATGGGAAGGGGGGGGCGGGGGCGGGGGTCCGACCTTGCCCTCCCGCGGGAAAGGCGCGCCTCGCAGCCTGCCGGCCTTCTTTCTCTTTTCCAACAACGACACACGTCAGCTTATACTGCTAGATTAGGTAACCTCGCCCCGCGCGATCGCGGGTGGTGCGATCAAACCTGGGGCCCATGCCGCCTTATTACGTCCGCCCCGCCCCCAGCGACCCCCCTGCGCTGGCGCGCTCGCACCGTTACGCGTCGCGACGCGAGCTGGCGTTTTAGTGCCCGAGGGTCGCCGAGGCCCTCTCCCCCCCCCCCCTCCCACTGCGCCCCCCCCTCCCTCTCTCCCGCCCGGGCACACGCTGGGCCCCCGCGGAGACCAAAGTAGTGCCCGGCGCGCGTTTTGCGCGGTCGCGTGGCCGAGCCGATTGGCACCAGGCGCGTGCTTCGGGACACTGTGGTTGCCGGTTTTGTCCCGTGGGGAGGCATGTGCCCCCGCCCAGCCAAGCCTTGCAGCGCCGACTTGTCAAGTTGCCGGCTTGCTTGTCCGAGTCCGTCCCGCCGCTCGCCACACTCACCGACTCTTGCAACGGGCGCCCGCGCATAATGCCGGCTTCTAGCCTTGCGTACTCGGGCTGCTCGGTCGCCTTGACCCAAAGCCCTCAGGGCCAGGAACATTTAGTGGTCCAGGGTATGCTTGCTCTGTTCTAGGTGCTTGCCAATGCGACACTGCAGATCGCCGCTCAGCATCAAGCTCAAGCTCAAGTGCTAGTGCTAGTGTCGATCGGGGCGAAGCACGTCTTTTCTACTCCGTCTTAGTGGATACACACGACAGAAAATACAAATACAATCTATGATAGATAGTACATAGTCATACACGTGGCAGCCAGTGGTATAATGTAATAAATACATCGTGAGAGCAATTTTGTCCGTAACGAGTCGACTTATATGCACAAGAAAGGAACCGTATGCAATGTTTAAACCCAACAATGATGGTGAGCACGAGATAAACGAAGGAAGAATCGAGCGCTGAGAGAGAATAGCAACGACAGTAAAAAGGATGGCGTCTCGAAAGCTAAATGTCAAGCAAGAAACGATAATGATGGTATACTTCAACGACAGGGCTGCGGGGCAAAGTGGTCGACGCTCGAACCACAGGCGAGGGCTCCGATGCAAGGGATTACACTATACTTGTCCGGCCAAGTAGGCCAGGGGACCCTGTCACCTGTGACACCCATTCTAAAGCAGCCGCTTTCGTGATGCGCACAAAGCGGCCGCTATAATATGGGGCTTGTGTCAGGTTTGTGACGTGTCTGGCCTACTTGGTCGGACAAGTACAGCATCTCATGTCCATGCTACGCGCCCAGATCTCATGATGCCGCCATATGCACCAACGCCCGCACTCGCAGATGCCAGCCTCCGCGAGGCGAGGGTGCTAACGCTGTGTGGCTGAGCCAATAGCAGGCCCTGCCCAGCATGCGTTGAATGCGACTGGGGCCCTGCGCCATCCTATATTGTAATTCATTAATGTCCGGTCCGGAACATGGGACTCGGAAGACATTGACATACCTTGTCGCTTCCATAGTACATCCCAAGCGAGACAGCTTTCCTAGCCCACATATTGTTAGAACCCTCATCAGAGCCGTTGACAGGGTCCACGTCGTGGCCGAGCACCCCGAGATCATGAGCGGGCATGACGTAGCGCGATGACGCCGGGGGTGGTAGGCGGACTGGCGTCGTGGTGGTGTACGCGAGAGTCTGTCGCGCTTGGCTTTCGTGAGAGCCGACATAGCCCGGCGAAGAGTATGACGATGATATCGACGAACCATACATCGCAGAGGACGTTACCGGGGATGATGATGATGATGATGATGATGGATACATCAAAGAGGGTGATGACGAGGATGCTGGAGGCGAGGGGGCAAGATAAGAGAGAGGGGGAGAGTGAGTCGACGTGCATGATAGCGATGAGTGTTGCACGGATGGCCGGGACGATTGTAGAGGCTTTGTAATGGACGAGAGGGACGATATCGACGTCGGCATCCGGACTGTTTGATAATCGTCATACATACAGCCACCCATCTGATTAAGCTTTGAAACTTACGGGAAGACGACGGAGAGGCCGACGATATCGACGAATACCTGGAGCCGTAGTCTAATCCTATTGTGGCATCCAGACCCTGTGCCGGGGTAAGGACGGTGTCGAATGCGGACTGATGCCTCGTGAGGTCGGGCGAGTAGCTCAGCGAGTGCGAGTCAGCCGAAGAGTTGGACCAGGCATGGCCATGGTCGTCGATGGGGGACGACGAAGGAGAGTCGGCGAGGGTATAGTCGAACTCAGGTGTGGGTGAAGGGTCAGGCACGTACGTTGGCATGGGTGTCACCCTGCGCCGCTTGCGCGCCGACCGCTCGGATCCGTCCGCGGCGAGGTAGAGAGCACCCGGCGGCTCCGACTTGACGCGATCGTAACCGATCTCGAGCTGGAATTCGAGTATTCTGGGCACCTCACGGAGAGGGCCGATGGGCTCGCCGTTCCAGTTGACGTTCGCAGTGGGATCGCGCACGGCGTTGTGCATTGTGAAGGGGTCGAGTCGGAAGACGCCCATCATACGCCGCATCTCCTTGGAAGCCTGTGTAGCGCGCAGCGGAACTTCGGTCATGCTCGAGAGGGCGGGGTATGCGGTCATGGCGGCATCGGTGACGGCGGGGATCTCAAACACAAAGTCGTCTTGTTCGTCTTCCTGCTTGACGGATGCGGGGGCGGGGTCGGGGTCAACGACCGATTCGGAAGACGTCAGCGGAGAATCGAGGACAGCATTGACAGGGAACTGATAGACATCATCAGCGCCCCAGGACGCGTTCTCAAAGCGGGGCTGCCTCGGGGATGCGAAGGAGTGTGCTGAGGAAGAGGAGGATGGGCGAGAGTCGAGGACGGCATGGTCGGGGGCGGAGGGATAGTGGTGGTCGTAGGGAAGATAGTCGCTCAAGGGGGGGTTATAGGCGACGGAGTCCCAGGTCGGGTAGAGGGATTGGGTCATCGGGGACGATATAGGCAAACCGAGAGCAGTTTGGGGGGAGGGCCGTCCATTTTTCTAGGTCCAGCCCACGATCTTTATAATATGAACACTCCCAGCAAACAACTGTCGAGTTGCTCGCGTTGAACTCTCGTTCGAGCAGGCGCCCCTGGCCTACCATCTTGATTTGGAAGGCTTCCTGTTGGGATCCGCAAATGCCGGCCAAACACGCCTAAACATGCCACCACCCTCTTGAGCTTTTCTGCGTGCCTTCCAGTTGTTCTGCCTGCTCCAGTCTTGCTCATCTCGCCTTATCTTGTGCGCACACGTAAACAAACGTCTGGCGTGCCCGTCGCCCACAGCGATGTGCGCGAGGGTGCGTACGCGTTCAGCCCGTGATTCAAAGTCCGACTCAGCGACTTTCAATCGCGCTCTATAAGCGCTCATCGGTGATCGCGGCCACCGTTTTGTGTGCTCCCGCCATGCTGGGTGCCCGACACGTCTCTGAGACGTGCGTCGGCCCAACAGTGATGCACAGACTCGGTTATCGACCTGCTCGTACGTACATCATCGAACGACGCCAGTGTCTGCTGCCTATCCGCGTCGCTATTCAGCCGACATGCCGAGAAGCAACCTGCCGTCGTCCTCTGCTCCTGGCAGAGCACGCACTTTCTCCCCCGGAGAAGAGGTGGGTCCTCCTCGTCCGCTAAACCTTCTATCCATCCAATCCTCTCGTCAGCTCGGTCCCGCTCTTCCGTTTGTCTCCCGCCATATTGGTCCACTTCAGGCCGCGACTCAAGCTTTGACACCGAGTCAAAGAACATGGGCTCCATTGCAGCACGATGCAGATGCTTCCTGCTTTGCTCCGCACTGATTCAATGGCTTGATCTTTGCTCGTAGGTGAGTGTGCGCGTCGCATCGTTGCTCAGACCTGGGATCTTCGGGAAAAAAATTAGAGGGTACTGCTGTTCCTCGGCGCGTGCAAGGCCTATCACCTTATCAACCCGATATCACAGCTTTCCATCTTACGACTTTGCTGTCGGACCCTGCTGTGGGCCGGAATCCCTTCCGTTGGCTGACTGTGCCATCTAGGGCTTCAGGGAACCCAGGCTACATCGACTCAGTTGCGCAACGAATAGACGGACTTCGGTTCCAGCTGCGTGGTCACACGCTGTTGGTCTAACATTGCCTAACCTACAGTGTGCGCCACTACGGCCCACCGGTATCTGTTTTACGGACATCGGTCAGGTAAGGTTTCGTGCATGAGCACCTCTAAGATCCGCTCATGGAGAGGTTAATGAATAGGCAAGCCGCTAGCCTTTAGGCGCAGATCCTCCTAAGAACCGGCGCTGCTGCCCTATTCATTCACGCACCGCCCCTCTCATCTTAGCCCCGTTCATGTGAATACACGCTATGCCCGCCGCTTCCCCCGCAGATCGTACCCCACACGCGCTGCAGGCGGGGCCACGATAACAACCAGCCGTGTGGTCATACGGACAGCGAGTCTGGCTGGCTGTACTCTTTACAGCCGACAGGCCTGCTTAACTCGGGTCACGAACCGACCTCCGGCTGACGAGCAGATGGCTGCGGACAGCCCAGGCCTCGATACCTGTACGTTCGACACGTGTTATTTTCCATTGAGTGTAGATTGTAAGACTGACAGCGTTAATGGCTTCCAAGAGGCCATAATCACTGTACGCGCGCGTGGTACGATTTCAGTTACGTGTCCACGCAGCGACCTTCGCGGGAGACAAATAAGTACAGTATTCCCAGCAGAATAAGCCCCTGACGCTGGACTTATTGATATCTGTGACGTGGACGTTCACGCTTAGATGCGACTACCTCTGTCAACGGTCTTAATTAATTTATGGAGGCCACGTTACGAAGTGAGCGTAGCACGGCGACGAGCAGAGCCCAGATTGCAAACCTAATCTGCAGAGTTCGCATCGCATCTCGCCATCAGACTAAGACGATTGCGTCCCATCGCGTGACTCGGGTGTGCGACATCTCTGTGTCGTTGCGATCTGAGCTGCCTGGCACTCTGACGGCAACTCGGTCTGCGCTGGCGCATCCGAGGGGACCATGGATGTTACGTGTCTTCCACCAGTCTCCGACGGCGACCCTGGCAGTATTGACAACGTTTGGCTTACGCTGGCGTGCGCCGCCGTCGGGCAGGCTTCACATTAATCCCGCCGGGGGAAAGCTTGAGCGACGCTAGCCCGGGGGGGAATGGACTGGAAGCCGGCTGGCCACCATCACTTGTTGCGTGTCACCAACGCCTTCTTGCTACCGATACTCTACCACATGGACGGTCTCTGGGGAGAGACGCTTCTCTAGATGAGTAAACGGCAAGGTCCAGCGACGCCACATCGAATAATCATCACCAACAGGATTCGATGATGAGATGCCTACTAGAAAGGCTGTGCCATTCGATTGTCTGGTCATGCAGCTGACGTACCTCTCGCCGACAGGGACACCTTGTTCCTCGAGTCTGTTTTGCCACGGCAGAATCTTACGTGGGAAGCGCCTAGCCGCTGATTTGCTTGTATTTCCCCACGCCTCCGACTATGTCTCAGCGGTTCCCATTCTGAGTCGAGCCCTGCCATCCGCCGGCAACGCAAACCCAATCTGACGAACGGCCTCATCTCGGACGCTTTAGCAAATCGCATCAAGAGCAAGGCACAACAGCTATGGCCGTGCAAATGTTGCCAACGTACTGATTTCTACGCTGTGATCCTGCTGTCTCTCGTCCCGCGAACAAGCATCCCAGGACACCGCGCGCGACGTGGCAGCCCCGCGCGGCCCAGCGTAGAGCCGTCGGTGATCAATGCGGCGCTCGGCATTGGCACGCGTGCGTCCGTTTGATGATCTGGTGGGCCTCCGCTGCGTGCATCCGCTTTCGGTATGTTCGCTGTCGTCTTTGGGGTTGCGACACGCTTCATGCCGCGGAAGCGAAGCCGCTTGGTGCCGCGCCGCGAAGGTGATGCGCCTCCGCGTGCGAGCCCGTGGCGGCGGCGCGTCCGACGGACTCGAGTGTGCGCTACCTCCGCCGGGAGAAAGACTCCACGGCGTGACTTCGGAGGCGGAGATGTATCATGGTTATCTGCTGCCTTGTTCACATGCTACTACGCTTTCCTACGCTCTGCTCCTCTGAATCACGCAGGCTTAGCGTTAATAGAGACGTTCCACATGCACATTTGTTGGCAACATATCCGCAGCTCGAGATCCGTTCATGTTCCCATAGGAAGCCTGATTATTTCGTGCCGCATCTCCGACGCGCAACAGGTGCCCTGGATGGGATCTCATGTGGTTTCTGTAATCTCCGAGCATGACCACTATTCGCCTTCGCCCTGACCGTCGTCTAGGACTATAGATACATTGCAAAGCTCTGTCGGTGCTTTGTTTTTGCCAATGGCTTCTCGTGGGTTCTCATCAGCTATCTTGTCAGCGGCGGGTTCGCGAAGTTCTGAATTATTTCGAGACGCAAGGACTAGAGAGAGCGAGACTTCGGTGTGCCCACGGGACGAACTGCTATGCTGCCAAGATGTCGATAACCAGTGAAGACGCACATGGTAGCACTAACAGCGACGGTAGTCGTTCCCACAGGCGACGTACGTGTCGCACTCTATTATTGCGCACGCAACGGACTCCGTCGTTCATATCCTGGACTGGTTCACTCTATGACAAGTTTCAGGCCTAAATACAAGCAGCATCACGATCTCGCCTTCTCCCGGGGATCTGTTGTCTTAACCTCCCGCAGCATATCAATATCCCGACGACGACGCCAAGACAACTTTCGATGTGGAATTCGTAACCCAAGCCTCCGAAGACGCGACGGACCCTCTTCTATATCGCGTTTCTGCCGCTGGCCCTCCTCTCTTCAACGCACTGCTGCCACCCAGCGCATCGCCCAGTCAATTCGTCGCTCCGTTTTGCCACCGGACTCGCGCCGCACCTCAGGCGCGTTAACATTGTACAGCGCTCCGCAAACTCTCCCTTCGCTAGTGTTCTGCGCGCGCCTCTGCACGCGCTGTACCGCGACAGTTCAGCGGTCCAGTGACTCGGACTCCGCACGGCAGACGGCTGGGCCCGGGCTGGCCGGATACCGGCGAGCCTGGCGTAGGTGTCTAGGCTGCGGTCGTGGTATCCGGCGCGTGTGGGGCCCAGGCTAGGCGAAAGAAGAATGTTTCATGCTAGAAGCCAGGTGCGTGGCAGGGTACGGAGCACTAATTATGATGGGTGTATTTCAGAACCTATCCGTGAGACACACGTGGCGCGGAGTGGTCGCTGGGCGTGTCGCGGGGACGATCGCATCGGGGCAGTTACGGTACGATGGCGCCCCAGCTCCACCCGGGCCTACGCGAGCTGGCCTTGTGATAACTCTCAGCCCTGGGATACATGCGGCGGCCGTGCCGCAGTGGAGAGTCCAGCCTTTTGGACGGAGGCTGAGGATAACTCTCGCCACAAGGAATTGAATTTTAACTATTTTGGCGGCTATCGGCTGATATGTTTTCTGAAGGGGACCAGTGGTGTGTCAAAGAATAGGACGGGAACAGTGCGCAACTGCGGCCGCCCTGGGCCACAGTAAAGGCCTCAGACATCGCAGCGTCCCTCGGCAGAGCTCATAATTCTCGACAGCGACACCGCTTTCTTGACTCCGTCCCATTCATGCGAGTCGTTCTTCAATCGCGTGGGGAGCGCGAAGTCGTCCTAGGATCTGCATGAATCTGCCCCCAAACAGACCTCTAATCTTCAAGCCAATCGAGGAAGACGAGCAGGATTTGAAGCATCTCCCATCTACTGTGAGAACGCTCCAATCTGCCGCAGAGATACAACACAGCATTGCGGGTATAGGTTTCGAGACGTACCAAATGGCAAATGATCTCCTCCTGATACAGGTGGGCACAGGAGGACGTCCGCCCTGTAGCAGAGGCGATGCTTCTTGTAGCCTCGTGCGCGCCGATATTCTTCCCGCAATTAATGTGATATTTGACCGACAGGCCTGTTCCGTTGCGAGCCCTGTCCTCGTACCGTCCTAGGCCCTGCATCCTACTATCCTAAAAGAAGAAAAAGAAGACTGACAGTGTTGTCGGTTGGCGACATGTTGCCTACCTCAGCCTGGTCCAACCTCTTAACCCTCATACACCGCTACTTACGAAGCGACTCGCTCCACTCCACTTGGACTAGAACCAGATGAATGAAAGCAGGACAAGGGCGTGACCTGCCGGGATACAACCCAACGGTCCATGACCGCAGATCCTAGACATGTCGGGGCAGGACGTGCAGATAGGGATGCGGATGCGGGCGCGAAGCCTGCTCTGTTCGGCGACCAAACATGGCGCACCGACGGCGCGGCGGTTGTGCGAGACTCCAGCGTGGCGTGATCGAGGCTCTGAGCCCCTGTGGCATCGTATACTCGCTCGACCTGCCGGATATTGGGCGGAAGCTTTAGGTAAACTGAATGGGCGTACGCGGCCCAATGACCTCGGATGCAGAGAGCGGCAACTTGGAATGTTGCCTGGGAAGTGCGATTGGGCGGGGAAGGATGTCGAAACAGGTTTAGCTGCATCTCGTACCCATACACTCCGAGGACTGCACATCGCCTGTGTCATGCAGGAGCCGCGGTTACGTCTGCGATATGACCTTGAGGATGTGATATGTTAATGCGCTGGAGAGGTACCCAACCAGGGTCCAGTGTGTTGTATTTGTACAAGCGAGTGGCTGATCAAGGCACATGCTGGTGACGTGAGTCTAATGTGTCCACGAGAACAGTGTGTGTCGACGCAGCACACCGGTGTTCCACGATCTATTTCATGACTGGAGGTATGTTAGTCGGCGGGGTGGAGTGACGAGGATTATGTAAGTGCGGCGGGAGGCAACGTGCATTCAGCCTCCGCGAACCTTGACGTAAGGCCCAGAGCCTATATATGCATCGGACGGTCCAGAGAATCGGAGAGTGCATCCATCCTGGCATCTTTCAGGGTATCGAGCGTGGCGCACTTCCCAGGAGCATGTGCTCCCCACTATCCACACCACGATTCCGGGAGTGGCATCAAATCGAGCAGGCAAGTACCTGGGCGCTCCCCGCCATCAGCGACCAGCCCAGGTCTTATCCGCAAACCTAACTTTCGATAAATGATCTTCTCTGCCACTAACCGCCAGGCCTTCCTCTGACCAACGGCCGGTCCACCAGCGACACATGCCCTTGCGGATGCCGAGCTGTTCGCGATCCAGCCCCCCGCCGTGGACATCCAGCGTCGCCCGCCAGACTCCGTCGTCCTCGCCCTCCTCCCACGCCAAGCCCAGCTTCTCGCCTTCGCGCAAGAAATACTCGTATACCGCTGCCGGTGTGTATTTTCCGGCTGAGACATAGGTGCGGGCGCTGCTGGATTTGTGTAGCAAAGAGGTGAGTGACAGCAGCAGAGCGTCGTGCGACGCGTCAAAGTGCAGCAGATCCGACAGGAGGACAATGTCGTAGCCTTTTCTGTCGTCAGACACCAATTCTCTGTGTGTGCGTGAGTGCGCGACCTTGCTTGCCGGTTCCGCCAGACTTACAGGAGCGGTGCAACGTCGCTTCCCCACTCGTAACTGATCCAGCGAACGTCACACTTCTTGGAGAAATGGGGACGGTTGGAGTCAATATTTTTGATCAAGCTGTCCAGGATGACCCTGTCCGGATAGTCGGCGGCCACCACCAACGCTGGAGGCGCGTCAAGGGTGGCAGAGAGCAGTGAGGGCAAGGCGCATCCGGCGCCAAGTTCCACGACTAACAGATGCATGAGTAACTCGTGGCATTCGCAATGCCAGGGATAGATACACACCAGAGCGGCCGGCTAACGGGATAAGTCCACGCTCGATGCGCTCTGCCAACAAGAGCGACGGCGAGAAGAGATGGTCGGCCAACAGCGTGTTGGCCTTTGTGCCCTATCAGCAAGCATACCTCCAACGAACAGAGGCCACATTCACCTTGCCTTCCTGTGCAATTTCGTATGAAGCGTTGTTATTCGAGCGCTCCCAATATTATTATGTTCGTACCTTCGGTGCCGTAGTGAGCGTCAGTGGCCCGTAATAGACGGTCCCGTCATTGTGCTCCTCGTCGCCGAAGAGGCCGATGCTGTCGCCAAGCACATCTTCGACGTCGAGTGTATCCATGTTGGTGCGTGTTGTGAAACCTGAATCTTGACAAGAAAACATGAATTGGATGGAGATTGATGGGCCGGGCGTGGCATGCTTCTGATCCGATACGGGTCAGTTGCTTCTCTTCTGACTTCCTAAACTGGGAGGCATTGTCATTTGCATTAGAACGCCAGCCTAAAGCTCAAGCGTCGCTCAGCGCTCAGCACCGGCGAGCTCTACAAGCTATGTGCTCGACTGTCGCAGCAAGTACACCTATATCTTCTGCTTTTGCATCAGTTTCGCACAGATAGTACTGACCGGGTTTCGCCACGTGGCAACGGACATCGGCCTAGGGCAGTATTCACGTGCCAACGACAACATTCTTCGATGCCATCCACGATGAGGCTCAAAAGCCGAGTCGCCCAAATCACACTTGTGCGGTACATTCTCGAGCCCGACTCCTGCCCATCCTACGACCGCATATCCATCGTAGTACTAGACCCTTAGAGGACCTCTCACCATCTCTGTCAGCCCTCTAAGCTCAACTCTACAAAGTAAAGCAATGCTTGTCACCGCACTCACAGAGCTACTGGGAATACAAGTGTACGTGCACGTTACCCCGTACATATGCTGCTTGCTAGAGCTCTTCGTAGGCCTGTGGTGCAAGGTGGTATGCAATGGTGCGTGGACATACCCTCTATCGTGGACATCACGCTCAAGTCTGCGTGATTAATCCAGGGTCGGCGTCCCACAGCTTGTGGCGGCAGTCTCAAACGCAGGAGGGCTCGGCACGTCTGCCTCACAACATCATCCTCCATTGTATTGTACTGATATCTTTCCGTAGGCATGCTCACCGCCCTTACTCAACCCAATCCGGATGCCCTACGTGAAGCTATCCGCGAAACTCGGAAGCGCACATCGAAGCCGTTCGGCGTGAACATCACGCTTCTTCCCTCGATCAACCCACCAGACTATGCAGGTTATGCGCGAGCAGCGATCGAGGAAGGGGTCAGGATATTCGAGACTGCGGGGAATAACCGTGAGCTCGTTCATCGTCAGATAGTGATAGACGCGCTCAATGAAGGAGGCAGCGGGTCCCTTGATCCGGTATTTCAAAGACCACGGATGTATCGTGATTCACAAGTGCACAACCATCCGGCATGCTCAGGTGCGCTGCGACTTTGGTGCGACTATGGCGCGGGGTTCACCATTCTTGCAGTCAGCAGCAAAACTCGGGGTAGACTGTCTGAGTATAGATGGCTTCGAATGTACGCACGCGCCGCTCCAAGCAAATCCTGTTCAAGCTAACTCCACTTTGTCGTAGGCGCAGGACATCCTGGAGAAGAAGACATTGGTGGCCTGGTCCTGGTGAGCCGAAACATCTATCAGACGCACTCATCGCTCACGGCGACTTTTTTCAGCTTGCGCGGGCGGCACAGGAGCTGAATGTCCCGTACATTGCATCAGGAGGCATCGCCGACGGAAGGGGACTCGCAGCAGTGATGGCTTTGGGAGCTTGTGTACGTCGCTCGTTCTCTGCCAGCGGACCCTGTGCTGACTCCTTGCAAGGGGGCGAACATGGGCACACGTTTCATGTGTACAGTAGAAAGGTGCGCCACACCTACCCCGTCCCCCCTCACCATCATCTCTCACCACCTCACGTACCAGCCCGATCCACCAGAACGTCAAGGACAAGATCGTCGCGTCCTCCGAGACAGACACGGTGCACATATTCCGCACCCTGCGCAACACCGCTCGGGTGTACAAGAACGCGGTCTCGACGCAGGTCGTCGCGCTCGAGCACCGCCCGGGCGGGGCCAAGTTCGAGGAGCTGCGGGACCTCGTCGCAGGTGCGCGGGGCCGGAAGGTGTACGAGGTTGGCGACACGGATTATGGCATCTGGAGCGCGGGCATCAGCGTCGGGTTGATCAAGGACTGTCCGACGTGCGAGGAATTAGTGAAGCGCATCGAGCGAGAGGCTGAGGAGGTGATCAGCAATTTGGGAAAGTTGAAGGTTGAGAAGGCGAAGCTGTGAAAGAATGTTCTACTATTTGGATGTACTTTAGATGTACGATGTAAAGCTTACTGTTGTATCTACATGGGAAATACTGGACCAGGGGAACTGTCGTATCACTTGTTCACATCGCGCTTGGCTAAATTTTCTTCCCATGGAGCGAAGTCTTGCAACCACAGTCCCTGCCTGTTCGGGTTGGACGTGTTTTGACGCGCCCTGGACTGCCGCGCGCGGTTCGCGTCCGCCATCGGGTGCGCTTCTCGACCACCAACCTCCGACTCTTTGAAGCCTCGCAGGCTTGACCACCTCATGCTGATTGGAGCATTTCGGAGATATCCACGAATATGTGCGAGGCTTGTCCTCCGCCGCCCCTTGTCTCAATCCGCGAGCACAATACAAGCAGAACGACCCGGGCGGCCGTTCGACATCCTCTTCTTCGGACGCGACGAGTTCTCTTGCATGGTGCTTCAGCAGCTCTATGAGGCGCGAGGTGAGTTTTGTAGTCCTGAATTGCGACATCCATTGCTCATGCATGTGCGGCAGACGTATGGCAAGAGATCCACATCGCAACGCAGCCTAACATGAAGACGGGAAGAAACGGTTCCGTCCTCTCAGTTTGTAGGCATCCTCTCAGTGACATGCGGACTCATTCTGATACTCTGCCATAGCACCCTTGAAAACCGTCGGACAGGAGCTCGGCCTCCCGGTACACGAAATCCCGCCCGACAAGCCGTCGTTCAGAACCTGGCAGGTCTCGTCAGTCTTTCTTCTCTTCGGCTTTGACATCTGACCGACTGTTGCTGTGCAGCCACCTCCTCCTTTTTCGGAGCTTCCACCGCCTTCGCCGCGTCTTCTCGTGACAGCCTCCTTTGGCCGCATCCTCTCGACGGACCTCTTGCAGAGGTTCGCTCCGGGCAGAAGGCTGAACATCCACCCATCGCTGCTACCGATGTACCGTGGTCCTGCACCAATCCAGCATGCATTACTTAACGGAAAAAGAGAGACCGGTGTGTGCGTGATTGAGATGACGGAGGCGAAGGCGGGCATCGACTCTGGGGATATATGGGGGCGAGAGAGGATGGTGAGTCTAGTCGTTCTCGTTGGATAATATGTGAGGGCTGAGCAATGGGTGATGTACACAGCCAATACCTGAGGAAGCCGACTTCCCCGCGCTGCGAAGCTTTCTCGCGATCCAGGGTGGGGAGCTGCTGATCAGCGTATTGCGAGAGATGATTCAGGGCACCGTACGTCTCGATTCGCATCATCTACTTCGAGACATCATTCGTCTGATTGAATGCGGCGCAGGCTGTAGCACGACATCAGCCGGCCGATTTCAGTGCCCCGCGTGCACCGATGATCACAGCAGACGATGCTCTCATTCATTTCTCGACGATGACTTCGCAAGACATAGTGCGCAGGCATAGAGCCATATCTCATCAGGCATGTCCACACCTGACCATTATATCAGCAGTCGTGCTGACTCCTGTATTCTTGCAGAAACCACTGTTCGCATACACGAAGACCGGTAAGACAGTGCAGCTGCACTCGCTATCGGTGTACGAGCTTCCACCGGGATCGTTACTGTGGAGACTGGCCGAACCAGGAATGGGGTGGTATGACCCGCGCACGGATGCGCTGGCAATCCGCTGCGCTGGAGAGACGCTGCTCGTTGTCTCAGAGGTATGAATGCGCATTTTCACCGCAGAATATCAACTAATTGCATTGCCTGTTATCCAGCTGAAGAAACAGGATCGAACATTGATCCCTGCGAAGGCGTGGTGGAACGGTATCCGGCCTGGCATGACTGCAGAAGGGGGCGACGGCCAGACAGTGCTTCACTTAGTGTCACAGATCTAGTTCATAGTATGAGCAGCTGCATACATCTCTTCTTGGGTACATGTGACCCACTGCGTTCTTTCACGCCAGGTTGCATTTCTTTCAAGACGTTTGAATGAATATAACGGCATATGACAGGATTGCCACAGCGTAAAATAACAGTTTGTTCATGAATGCTACAGGTGGACACTGAACCTCGCAGTGCATTAGATCCGCACATAACACCTAAGCAAGACGTTCGTACTAAAGCGACCGCGTCGCAGAGGACCGACCGCCAAAACGGCGTGTCGTCTCTGCAACTAGACCAGCTGGAGGTCGCCTCAGGCCGACATCGTGCCAACGAGCGAGAACACGACCGCACACGCGATGGTCCAGACGCCGACAGGCCCTGCGGCACCCGCCATCATGCCCCGCGCTGCGTTGATTGTGCTCGCGTTCGAGAACGCGACGCTGGGCGTGAACGCGCTCTGGTTCGTGCCGTACACGTAGCCGGTGGTGTCGTTGGTGGCGGCCGCCGGGTCATGACAGGTCACGTTGATGCCCTGGATGAGCGCGTAGAAGTGTCCGGCAGAGAGATAGTCAGGGTCCTGCCAGTTGATCATGCCGCCAGCCCAGCTGACGGTGCCCGTGGGCTCAGATGGGATACCCGCGGGCCACAGGCTCAGCTGGATACGAGAAGGAGTGTTAGGGTAGTTGGACGTGCCGTTCACAACGGTGTCGGAGGCCACGACCTGGTGCACGATGTGACCGTCGATGAGCCAGGTAAGGGTGTCAATTTGCCAGTCAATCTACCCGATTGTTAGCTGAAGGGGAAGTATGAAGTATAGAGTGGGCATACAGTAAAATCGTGATAAGTCTCGAACGTATCAGTCAGGAAGCTGAGGTTGCCAATAGTGGCACCGTGAGTCGCCGGCCAAGCAGCTGTATCGCTCAACATTCAGCCTCAGCAAACCTTTGGCTTGAGAAGATACTTACGAATATTTCCTTGCCAGAAATAGTTCGTCTGACCCTCGGTAGTAGCATTTCCGGGGAACTCCCAGTCGATCTCGTCTTTGATATCTGACATGGTGATAAAAGCGGTAACCACACCTCCCCAGCGACCGGTCTTGACTGTGCAGCCATACGCCGTCAGCTAACCGTTGAGAAAAGTGTGTAAGGAGAACTAGACATACGTCGAGCAGTGATAGTGCCGTAGTGCAAATAGCGAGTGGATGAGAGCCGGGTGCCACCGTTGGTTTCGGTGAGGAGCAGAGCAAGCTCACCGCCAGAAGAGTTGGTATTGATAATGCTACCTTTGTCGAGCGTCCAATCGTATTCAGTCGCGTTACCATCGTAATACGTCGTGTTCATAACGATGCGAGACAAGTCCGGGAAGGTGTGCTGGTGGCGTGAACTTAATCAAGCATCTCACTCACAAGGCCGCTGTTGCGTACAATGGCATCCTGGCAAACCGGCTCTGGCATACAAGAGTCCAGCGAGTGTGAGTAGAGTGGATTGCAGCCGCCGAGACAGAACTAGACGGATACCACATGAGAATCACGGCAGCAGACAGACAAGGAATGCTGACCGAGCCAGAACCACAGAAGCCATATTCGCCTGTGGACAGTAGACGTTGAGTATTTGACACGTATTTATCGTCAAATAACTTACTGCAGCAGGGGGCGGTGGAGGGACAAAGTGATGTGGCGTTGCTGATGTGCAAGCGCGTCAGATCACAGAAAGTTCGCGGGCAAGGTTTATTCGCACCAAGCTTGACCACCCTGGGCAGAGGCTAGGGATGCACTAAGAGCAAGAGATAGAAATCCGAATAACTGAGTTTGTTTGAACATGCTAGGTATCGATGCTTTTCTGCAACCAGTTATGCAGCGGGTATCTCGCAATTGTGTGGGCCAAGACCTGATGAGGAAGTGTGAGGTGAAGGACCGGGAGGAAGGGGGAGGGGATGGAGGCAGCCGTCGAGGCTTCGACCGTAAGCCTTATATGGAGAGAAATGTTCAACTTGTGAAGAGAACAGTACGCATGGAACAAATGAAGCCGAAGCTGCCGTTGCGGCCTCGTGTCTTCACGCGTCAGCGCTCTGCGTTGGGGTCGTGACCGCGTCTTCAATTTCCCACGCCCTCTTCCTCGTCCCGGGCCGCCACCATGTTCGCTCACAACGTGCAGCCTCCGCTCGTCTCCCTCTTCTCCTCAACTGGCTCAGACCCTCTTGCTATATGGGCAGTTAACAAGCACGATGAATTGCCTGACGACTCGGTTGTGTGTCTCCTCGAAGACAAGACGTCGGAACCTGCGCCGCCCGGGCCTGCAAAACTTATCGAGCCCCCGGCAATTGACAGCGTTGGCGAAAATGGACGAGGTCAAGGTTATACCTTAAGTCAGACCGTGCTACACATACAAAGCCCTGTTATACGCACGACGTATATCCGATGCCCATCAACCGGCGACCTAGACATGAAGCATCCATGGATGCATCTGCAGGTCCGGAGTCTTGGGAAGGACTGGTCGTTTGAGGCTGGTGTTGTGGATAGAGCGGGAAGAGAAGGCATCGCGCGTTTCTCGACGTTCCAGGTAATGCCCTTGTCTCTACGGTCCTTGTTCTGCTACAAGCGTTTTGAACTCCGAGTGCCGAATTATCCCGCGAATAGAACGCGTTTGTGTATTGGAGGGTTATGGGTTCTGTTCGTTTTGCTTCTCTCAAGCGTGTGCTCACATCCGTGTAGAAGACACCTCGACTAAGGCCGGCCGAAGCTCCCATCGTGCATCTTCCTCTATCCTTTCCCCATCCGTCTTCACACCGTTTGACGAGCTGGGCGACCATCAGTGTGAACCTTGCCAACCTTCTTCCCCGCTTTTCCGACATAACACTGCTCGAGGAAGTGGAAGCCGCGTCAGACAACGAGAGTCAGGCGCACCCAAGAAAGAAAGCGCGGCTCGCTGGTATCGTGCCTTCCGGCTCGTTTTCACACGTTTCGTACGTGAAAGTATACGCAACATGCCGGCTGAGGAGGGTTTGGTTCGGTCAGGCAGGCACAACTGCAGATCTTCCCTGGGAGTTTGAGCTGTATTCCGCAGATTAATAAGAAGCGTTTTATCTGGACGGTGAATGGCAACTTTAATGAAACCTTGGAATACGTCCTGGTACTTGTTAGCTTGTCGCACAGGCGTTGGCGAGCACTGTCATGCTTGCTCATTGATCATTTGTCATCAACCGCGCGCCTGCACGCGTCGCGTAGCTCATTGGTTCAGCAGACGTGGGTATCTCCCAACCTCCACGAGCGTCGCTGGAAACCAACTACTATCTCTGGCACACCACTTTAGACCGCTATCATGGCACCAGCATTTCAAAAGCCACCGGCGAAAGATGGCCAGAATGCTAGCAAAATGAAGCAGAAGAGCCTGATGTCCTTCTTCTCCAAGCCACCCACTACGTCGACCTCAACACCCAATGGTGCGTCAGCGAAGCCTTTGGCGGCTGCAAGCAAGTCTAATTGAGCTGTTGACGCGTCCATAGCACGGGCAGAGCGTAGCTCAGACACGTCTTCAGACCCAGTCTTGCCGGAAGCGCGGACTCCAGTGTCAAAGAAGACACCAGGTTCAGGTGTCGTCGCGGATGCGAGCTATACGCGTAGCTCCGATGACGCGAGCAGTTTTGCTCAGACACCTCCGACTAGCGACCCCATTGACGTAGACATGCTGTCCGCGGAAGAGGATGAAGGGAAGGCGAAAAACTCCAAGTCTGCTGTGAGCTCTAAGCTCGCCCTATGGCAAAAATGTCACTTTTATTGATCAGTATGGTTCATTAGGCCACCGTAGCTAGGAAGAAACGCAAGATTATCCTCGAAGACTCGGATGAGGATATGCAAGACTTAGACGTGGAGGCGTACCAGAAAGGTTTATCCGCATACAAGCCGTCTCCCGAGCCACAAGAGAAGAAAGGTACATTTAAAACCATTTTCCATTCTGTTAAATTTCTCACTGTACTGCAGGCCGTGCAAAGAAGCAGCGCATCGCCGTCATGCTGTCGGATGACGAAGATGAAGACGAGTCAGCTGTCACATCCTTCTCGCAAAGGCTTACGAAATTCAGGCCTCCGGAAAAGGCTGAGCCAAAACGTAAGCCCCAATCATGCATATAAGACTGGGTGCTCATGGTTGTTTGTTGTAGGTCGGGCATCTAAGGTAGATGACGACGACGATTTCGTCGTTCCCGATGATGCTTCTGAAGACGAAGACGAGGAGGCCTCGCCTACTTCACACGGCCAGTCGAGAACATCAGGGTCTTCTTCGCGCGCGTCCTCCCGCCTTTCCAACTATGCGCATACATCTGCCTCTGAGGGCGAAGAAGGCCTTCCGGAGCCGAGCTCTCGTCGCGAGCGCCCCAAACTCGCCAAAAAGTCCATTCCCAAGGGTGGTAGCAGCAACATCTTCCTTACCGCAGCCGAGCAGCGACAGCAGGCACAGAAAGAAGAGAAGAAGAGCAACGAAGATCCGTTTGGCTTCTTGGTTGACGTTCGGGACAAGGACGGTGTACGCCCTAGTGAGCCTGGATACGATCCTAGGACGCTGTATATACCACCGAAAGCCTGGAAGGCGTTCACACCCTTTGAGAAACAGGTATGAGCGTGTATGTGCAGTGCGTTACGTATGAAGTGCTTATATTTACCCCTCCAGTTCTGGGAGATCAAGCAAAACCACTTTGACACTGTCCTGTTCTTCCAGAAGGGCAAGTTCTTGGAACTATATGAGGAAGACGCGCGGATTGGCCACCAGGAGTTCGATCTCAAGCTCACGTCGAGGGTCAAGATGAGCATGGTCGGTGTGCCCGAACAGAACTTCAACTTCTGGGCAGCGAAGTTCCTTGCGAAGGGTGCGTATAAGCTCGCCTAGGAAGCATATCGTCTGACAGATTTTCGATAGGATACAAGGTTGGTCGCGTCGACCAGGCTGAAACGGCATTGGGTGCCGAAATGCGCCTCGCCGCAGATAAGGGCAAGACGAAAGCGAAGGCTGCCGCAGGCGCTGACAAGATTGTGCGGCGCGAGCTGAACAAGGTGTACACGAACGGGACTCTTGTCGACGAGGCACTGCTCACAGACGATCAAGCGGGTCACTGCGTTTCTATTCGTGAGGAGGGGGAGGAGGATCCGAAGACCGGCAAGCAGAAGTTTGGGTTGTGTGTGCTCGACAGCAGCACGAGCGAGTTCAACCTCAGCGCATTTGAGGACGATATATGTCGCACGAAGCTCGAGACGATGGTCAGACAGCTGCGACCAAAGGAGATTGTATTCACCAAGGTAAACCTCCATGCTCCATCTGTGAACTGTATCTCCTTACGTGAGTTTCAGGGCAATATTTCTGTCCCAACGATGCGTTTGCTTAAGGCCATTCTGCCATCGAACTGTCTGTGGACAAGCTTGCGGGACTGTGAAGGTCTGTCCTTCGATGCCACCATCAAAGCGCTCAAGGAGCTCTATCCCTCCTCTCTGGACGACGATGACGACCTGGAGCCGCGACCCCATAGCCTCAGCAAATCCGTGCCAGAGGCGATACTCAACATGGTTCGCTACGAGGGCGCAGTCGAGGCACTCGGCTCGATGATCTGGTACCTACGGACGCTCAATATCGGCAACGACATCTTGAGCATGAAGAATTTCAACGTGTACGACCCAATGAAGAGAGGACAGGGCTTAGTACTGGATGGGCAAACCTTGGCACACATTGAAGTATGTATGAGCGAACAGTTGTAATGATGGGATTTACTGATCGTGTCGCTAGGTTCTGGTCAACAGTGAGGGTACAGAGGACGGTTCGTTGCTCAAGCTCCTCAGTCAGTGTATCACACCTTCCGGTGAGTTCGTATCACTCATAGAGACCGTCCTCTTGGCTGAGTAGTCTCCAAGGCAAACGACTATTCCGTATTTGGCTTTGTATGCCTCTTCGAGATATCGCAGACATCAATGCCCGGTATGTCATCGTCGATGTTTTGTTGAACTATTGGCTAATCTCTCCTTTCTGGCAGGCTCGACGCAGTGCAGGACCTCATCGACCATCCCACCTTTGAGGCCGAGTTCAACGAGGTCGCTAAAGGCCTCGGTGACCTGGAGCGCATTGTATCGCGCGTTCACGCGAAAAATTGTAAGGTGAAGGACTTCCTGAAAGTGCTTGATGTATGTATAGCTTCTATCTCGCCAACTCATCCACAGTACTCATGAGATGGCGTATAGTCATTCAAGACCCTTAGCAAGGGGCTCTCCGCCCTTGCCGACACGGCCGAAGGCTTCAAGTCTAGGACTGTCTTTGGCCTCCTTAGGTCTGCTCCGGACCTGGCGCCTCACATCAAGAATGTGAAAGCAATGTTCGAGATTACTGAGGGTAGTAAGTCGCACGAGAAAGGCATGTTAGGAATTCGGCTAATCATGAAACTTAAGGCGACGAGCTAATGCCTCGCGAGGGCAAGGACGAGGAGTACGATTCAGTTATGGAGGAAATCAATGAATTAGAGCGAACTCTGGAAACGGAGCTGAAGAAGCTCGAAAAGAAGCTAGGGTAAGTGTAGCATACCAGTACTGGTGTATCATCTAGTTTTAACAGCCCTCCCAGGATCAAGTTGTCGTACTGGCATAGTGCTCAGGGCACCAAGGTAGGAGTCGCGAAACAACAGAGTGATTTCCCAAATTGATCACATTTTTATAGGAAATTTACCTGGTGCAGACGAAGCCTAACGAAGACGTTCCACGCAGCTGGACTAAGAGCGGCAGCACGAAAGTATGTGATTCTTCATCATTACCTCGGTTGAAGCAGCGTGACTTTGCTTCCTACAGGCCGCCGCTCGATGGACTGTCCCTGAGCTCGCCCCAACGATTCGATCGCTCAAGGAGGCGCGCGAGAACCGTAACACTGCAATCAAGTCTTTCAAACATCGGGTGTATGCTGAGTTCGACAAGGACCGCTCCGTGTGGCTGCGCGCTGTGCGCGTGCTTTCGGAGCTCGACTGCCTTTTCTCACTCGCCAAAGCCTCTGTCGCACTCGGTGAGCCGGCATGCAGACCCGAGCTTGTCGCAGGTGACGAGGCATTTGTCGACTTTGAGGAGCTGAGACATCCGGCGCTGAGCGTCAGCGCTGGGTTCAAGGGCGATTTCATCCCCAATGATGTGAAGCTCGGTGAAAACGTTGGGAGGATAGTGCTACTGACGGGCCCGAATATGGGGTGAGCGGCTTGCTGTTTTTTTTGTGCGGTATAGCTCACTTCGTCTTGCAGAGGCAAATCTACGGTAAGATGTGATGCTCTCCTACGGCTCTGCTCCGTTTGCTAACCCCTCTTTAGGCCATGCGTATGACCGCTGCCGGAGTGGTGCGTATTCTCCATACGTCTTTGTCTGTCATTTTTTCACCAAAATACCCAGATCATGGCCCAGCTCGGAATGTTTGTGCCAGCGAAGCGGGCTAAGCTATGCCCTGTGGACGCTATCCTTACTCGCATGGGTGCCTATGACAACATGTTCTCGAATGCCAGCACGTTCAAGGTCGAATTAGACGAATGGTATGACTTTCCTGGCGACTTCCCGCCTCGACACATCTGACATTACATTATCTTAGCTGCAAGATTTTGCGAGAGGCCACCCCGCGGTCACTGGTCATCCTTGATGGTACGTATTCAAGCAAACCTACGTATTGAGGAATGAAGCTGATCCTTGCGAACAGAGCTTGGAAGAGGTACTTCGACTTATGTGAGTCTCACCTCAGACAAGCGCCATACAGCTCTGACAGCTTTCGTAGGACGGCATGGCTATTGCGGGCGCGGTCTTACATCAGCTTGCAACCCATACCCTGTCGCTATCATTCTTTGCGACCCACTATGGCTCGTTGACGGATGACTACGCATATCACCCCAACATCAGGAACATGCACATGGCGACTCATGTCGATGACGAGAACAGAGAGGTAGGCACCTGGTCGTTATTCGAAACACTTCGCCGCTGATGTCCACGCAGCTCATCTTCCTGTACAAACTCGTCGAAGGCGTTGCCTCCTCCTCCTTCGGCACACATGTTGCCAACCTCGCTGGGGTTCCACAAGAAGTCATACAGCGCGCCGAGATCGTCTCAGACAATTTTGCGAAACAGTTCAAAGAAAAGATGGAGGGCAACAAGCGGAGCGGCGCCTCGCGGCTGCCGCTGCCCGTCCAAGCAGACTTTTCCTATCTCTTTCATCTGGCCGCGGGGAAGGCGGAGCTGCCCGCAGATAAGGTCCGCAGGAGGGAAGTGCTCAAAGTCCTGAAAGCGGCTGTGAAGGGGTATTTGAGCCACGCGGCAGCCACTGTCGCTTAGGCAAATTTTAGGACTAACAACTCACCGTTACGTATATGCTTTGCTGTCTTCTGCTATGTAAACTGCACTTGTTTTATGGATGTCGTACTGCTGTATATACTTGTTATTTGCGCATTTCCGGATCGTATACCTCACATAATTCCAGAATCTTAACCGTCAGGTCATGGGATGCAAATAAAGTTGCCGAGACAATTAATGCAGGAGCGCGAGCTAGGCGGGATGATACTGTAGGATATCGTGCTACCGACTGCAGCGCGACATAAAGGTATCTGAAACGAATATGACCATTGGCTGTTTAAACATCAGTCTAACGTGAGATCGATGACATCCCCGCTCGATGACATCCTTATAGGGCTCGGCTCGCGTTTTACGACTTGTGATTCGCTAAGCTTTGTACGGATGGCGTTCATATTGGCTTTCAATGAGTCCATCGTCGTGGCCATCGCGTCTAGCTGTGCCTAGAAAGAAGCTGTCAGCACAGATGTTACGCCATGCACGCAAGACATTGCTTAACCTACCTGAAGTGTCTCGCTGCTAAGAACACCTGGGTCCGCTTTGACTGGAGCTTGAACGTCGTCTGAGGAAATGGCTTGAGTTTGCCTGTCATCAGAAAGAGTTCAAATGCTTGCCAATTTCGCGCCTGGGCCTCTTGCTGCTCGTTCTTGCTGAACCGCCGGAATCTAGTCTGGAAACAGCAGGACGTTTCCTGGAGCTTAGGGTATCAGGTATAGGCAGAGGAGCGTTGATGGACGAAGGAATGATCCCTTGAGCGAGCAATATGTCTGGAAATCAAGTCGGCACAGAAAGTAAAGGGACAGAAAATCTGTGCTAACCTCTTGATCGGTAGCGAAAACGTAACTTGCAATACGGCTTGTCTTTCGTATCCATATAGGAGCATCGAACCGAGCTGCTGTTTTCTCCTATTTTCTTTCCAACACCGAAGCTGCTGGTGTGAATGTACGACGATAGAAAGGAAAGATTACAGCAACATACGCGATACAGTGCACTCCAGCTTTCTTGCTTCGTTCATGCATAGGACCAATATCGCCAACCGCGGTTTTCACAAGTTTGGACATACTCGACCTTGAAAGTACTGTCGCGCGAAGAATGAGGACTTCAATCGTACCGAGAGCATCGAGGTCGAGCCTTCGCTGAGCAGGCGAAGATTCTTCGTCTGGAGAATACCGAGTTCAGATTATAACGAGAGAGAACATGAGATCGTACCCTCTGTGAGCTGAAGCCTCGCAAATTTGAAAGGTAGGACTGTGTCAGAACTAACCCTTTGACCATGCGCAAGTCTTGAAGTTTTAGGATGGATATACGAGTGAAACGACATTTCGCGGCCGTCAACAAAGGTCGTGAATGACATGCCCTGGGAAGCTGAACCGTTGCTTCGCGAAATGATAAATTCCTGAGATCTCTTTATAATAAGTCCAGTGTTAAAGAGGGAGGAGTGGCCGTGAACAACCTTGCCTTCCTCACTTGCTACCCAGCATGTCATGGTATTCGACGACTCGTCGAGAACAGACGCGTACTCTTCCAGAGGTCTGCCATCGACTTGAACAGAAACCTGGAGCTCCTTGTATTTCATGGTGTGGACAAAAATGATGATGGTCAGGACTCAGCAAGGAGCAAGGGACTGCTGTGATGCAGCTGCACAGTATGTACTCTATTTGTGAAACTCGCGGTCCGGCGCCCCACGCTAGCGCTCTCCCGAAACTGGACCGCTGAACATCTGCCATCAAAGTACTATGCAAGGGACAATAGGAACGATCCTTCACGACGGGCACCTGCGCCTTTCAGTCGGCTGCACGCTGACTTTCCCGGGGTCAGCCATTAGCGAATACCTGTTGCGCTTCAGATGTCACCAATACAAGCTATACTGTACTTTACATACATCAAACTCAATCATGATCGTCAAATATAACATAACCCTCGCACGCATTTCAACATAGTCAGAGTCTTGTGCCTCTATCAGTCCGATGTAAGGTCAATAACGTCCCCGCTCACATCTAGCCGGATTGGACTAGGTTCTCGCTTGACGCGCTTGCGGTTATACTTCCCCTTTGCTTTCGACAACTTCGCCTGAATGGCCTCCAGTTGGGCCTGGGCAAGCAGCATTTGTGAATAGCACCAGAATGTCGGACAGAGTCGGGATACGCACCTGCAATACCTTCGTATCCTTAATATCTGATTCATCGGACTCTTTGATGTCTAGATTCTGTGATGCTGCGATAGTGGGTGAGGATGACCGGACCATACGAGCACTTCTTGCGCTTACGGGGCTCTTCTCTCTGCCTTTTCCCGGAGCCCGAGGCAGTGCGCTGCACCGGTGGTTCAGTTCTCTGTTGACCGCCATTCGAGGTCCTAGAAGGCGACGTATTACCCGGCGGAGCCACGGGAGTAGGGGGCGGTACGATCCCTTGGGCCTGCAGGATGTCTACAAGGCGTATAGTTCACTTTGGTACCGCGTTGCAGGGTCTGGGACGAACCTTTGGGCCGGTAACGGAAAACGAAAACACAGTAAGGTTTCTCGATGGCATCCAGATAATCTACGTTGGCGGCGTTCCGTGTTTGACGGTGTATCTCTCTGCCTAGTCTTTGTCGTTCTGTCAATATACGACGACCGCGGCCGTACTGCACACATACGACACACAATGCACCCCTGCTTTCTTCCGGCGCTCATGTACGAGGCCAATGTCGCGGGTGTCGTACTGTGCAGGATTGTAAGGCACGTTTTCCTTCGCGATGACGCGCCGTGCCGTTATGCGGATAGCACCTATCGCTTCGAGCTCGTTTGCGTCTCGGTGAAGTAAAGCATCGTCTATAGCCACATGAAAAGACAGGTTGTACATTTGTTTATTCTCCTCACCGTCAGAAAAATTGATCAGGGTAAAGGCGAATGGCCGAACAGAGGTCGATGTCATGAATATTACATATTCCGGATGGTTCTCCCGGATTCCATGGTATTCTTTTACTTTCTATATACCTCCGTATATTCGTAGGATATTCTAGGTATTCAGTCTGACATGTATATAAGGAGCTTGTACTGCTCAATAACAAGCCAGACTCGAGCTGGTCTTTCCTCACTCACATTCCTCTCGTCTGTCTCCTCAGCATTGTCGTAGCTCAGTCCAGTTGGATTG